TCCCGCCCCCTTGACCTGTCCGTCCTCCCTGGACTGACCTATCCCCTTCCTAACTCCCTACCTACACTCACCTTTCCTGGCTCCATCCCCGCCTCTTCGACCTGTTTGTTTCCTCTCCACCTATCCTCTCCTCTATCCGCCTCCCACTCTCTCCCTATTTATTTCAAAACCCCCTTCCCCTCCCCCTTTTCTGATGAAGGGTCTAGGCCCGAAACGTCAGCCTCTCTGCTCCTATGATGCTGCTTGGCCTGCTGTGTTCATCCAGCCCTGCACCTTGTTGTCTCTTAATATTTATGGTGTTTGTTCTTTAATAAATGGAACTGTAATATTTGAAGAAAAAGAAAACTTATGCATTTGGCTGTTCACATAAACTAACAATAAAAATTAAAAGTTTTTAAAAAAAATTTTGTTTAATTTTCAAAGGAGTTTATGCTTCTTAAAGACATCAAATGGAAGTAAGTTAATCCATTTTTGAATTTGTGTAGCGCCAATTTAATGATCTAACCAGGCACCTGAAGGCTCTCTTGGGCAGTGAGGCACCAGTTAGTTTTGCAAAATGAAAGGAATATAAAGAATATTGATCTGATCATTTTCCCCTAAACCTAGTGACAAGTCTGCCATGTGTATTGCCTGACATCTCGTAACGTGATGGGGAAGTCATTCTGACCTGCCGACTTTTGAACTGACATGTAATAAACAAATAGCGGTGAGGTTGCTTGAAGAATGTAGAACAGTACAGGAACAGACCCTTTGGCCCACTGTGTCTGTGCCAACTGTGATACCATTCTAAACTAATCCCATCTGCCTGCACGTGGTCTATATCCCTCTATTCCCTGCCTGTTCATGTGTTTGTCTAAATACTGCTTAAACATTGCTATTGTATCAGATTCTCCCATCTCCCCTACAGTATGTTCTAAGCACCTGCCATCCTGTGTTTAAAAAAAACTTGCCTCACACATATCCTCTAAACTCTTGCCCCTCTTACTTTTAAACCAATGCCCACTGCCATTAGACTTTTCCACCCTGGTAAGGAGACTCCGACTATCCACCCTATCCATGCCTCTCATAATTTTTTATACTTCTATCATCCCTCAGCCTCTGAAATTGTAATGAAAACAATCCAGTTTGTCCACCCTCTCCTTAGCGTTAGTACACTCCAATCCAGACAGAATCCTGATAACCTCTTTGAACCCTTTCCAAAGTCTCCACACCTGCCTACAGTGTGGCAACCAGAACTGTACACAATACTCCAAATATGGCCTAACTAAAGCTTTGTACAGCCATAACATGATTTGCTAATCTTTATGCTCAGTGCCCTGACTGATGAAGGCAAGCATGCTACATGCCTTCTTGACCACCTCATCCAATTGTGTTGCCACTCTCAGGGAGCTATGGACTTGTGCCCTAAGATCCCTCTCTACATCAGTGCTGCTAAGGGTCCTGCCATTTACTATATGCTTTCGTCTTGCATTTGACCACTATGACCAGAAAGTTAACTCTGGTGAATAGCCTTTGCTCGAGGGTAATACTGTTGCCACTGAGTCAGATTGTTGTGTTTTCCAGTTCCGTTTCAAAAACCTGAGTAGAGTTGACATGTCAGTGCTGTAATGGGGGAGGTATAGGTGTCACCTTAATTGGAGGCCCTGTCTACTCTCACAGGTAGTTGTAAAATAAAATCCCCTGGCAATATCTTGAGGAGAAGGGGAGTTTTCAGTGACCTGGACAATATTTATCCTTCAATCTGTCAAAAAGCCAGTATTGGCTTGATGGGCCAAATGGATTTTTGTTCTGTAAGATGCTTTGAATCAACATTACAAAAGCACATTCTGATTATTACCACATTGCTGTTTCTGGAAACTTGCTGTGCACAGCATGGTTGCCATCTTTCCTGCACTACAGCCAGCATTCCCTCTTAATTTATTTCTCTTCTGCGCGGACCTCCAAAGTCACAGTCACTTTTGATCTGCATCGGCTTGC